TATATTAAAGGGTTTATGAATTTCCTAAACCCTTTATTAAACCCTTTTTAAGGGCTTAGGAAAATTTTACATACGGTAAAAAGGGTTTATTATACGTTGCACTTTCATCAACCCTTTTTGGATTTATTATTCTACGAATTTTTTTTACAGTGTAGGACATTCTTAGATATTCAATGGTTTTTCTACTGACAAATGCGAAATTCCATCTCAATTGGATCATATTATTATAAATTGTGATTTTTCTAATCTTATGAAGTTATAGTTTAGAGAGAAGCATCAGCGATATTCTTTTTATCCAAGACATAATTCTACATGGTCTTTGTAATAAACGTATTTCCAACTCTTAAAATTTGATATTATGTTTGTTGTAATATCACTTTAGGGACTCAATTTCTGTCAGTTTTGACTGATATGCAACGGTTTGCGGCGAAAATAATCCGAATTTTGCTTCAGAGAAATATCATATTGGTAATCAACACAAAACCTGATCCGACTTATATATATTGCTATTGTTTTCTGCGACCTTGATTTTCGACCAATTTTTTTTCCCTGATTTTCCTCAGGAATAGGTCAAAAATTGAATCTCATCGAACCAATTATTTCATTGCTTTATTACTTGTCACTTTGCCTTTAAACAGCACTTTAGAAGCTTAGAACTTACTTTTAATTGTCAAAACGATGTTTCGACAAGATTCATTTTTTGGCCTATCCTTGAGAAACATGAAGGGACAGATTTGATCAAAAAACAAAGTCGTATCGAACACTTGAAACATATATAAGTCGACTCAGTTTTTTGTGCAAATTTCAAATATAATATTTATTCGAAGTCATATGAGGATTATTCTGCCTAAAAATCGGCGAACAGTAGTGAAAAACGTCAAAAACTGGATCTACAAAACAAAATAGTATGCCAGGGATCTTATGAAGTGGTTCATATTTTTAGAACCTAGGTAGTAGCTGATTTTGTAGCGCTTGAAAAGCTCTATCGAATAGGATTTGATCGAAGTTGGGTATAATTTCTGTTAATGTGATAATCAAGCGACAAATGCAAGGTACATATGTGATACAGGTCAGTAATAGAAGATTCGTATTCAGTTAGTGAAATCAAAGCATTATTCTAAATGAATGATTTCATTATGAAAATGCAGCATGATTATAGGTCTATCAGAATAAATTTAAGCTACTCAACTCATCTATTGTTTTGTTTCAAATAGACGCTTCCATTGTTGGCTATGATCAAGGGCTAGCTGACCATTTATTGCGTAGTAATACTAGACTCTGTTGATACTTATAATCTAATGAAAATATTTCAGATTAGTACCAAAGTGGTCGACAGTTCATACTCTTTCATTTTATATAATTCAATCGAATTAGGTCTTGAAAATAAAAAAGGACCAGAATACGTTTTTATGCATCCCCTTCCTTTTCTGTTATCCATTATCCGTTACTTGGTAACATAACAGTAAGTTTCCACCATTGTCAAAAACGTGATTGGGATTCTGTTTAATGGTGCGAAGCCAAAATGTTGTTAAAAAGAGCTGGATTTCGCTATCTAATAGTGGAAAAATCGAAGGCAATCATTCGCAATCTGGGCAATCAAAATATTGGATTTTTTTCCCTTGAGAAAATCTAACAATTTGAGTGGACATCTCAGTCTATTGAGCGAAACTGTACACGTGTATGGCTTTTTTTGACTAAGATGACATAAACTTGCGAGCTCGCCGCCTAAGTCAATACTAAGTCTATGTAGACCTTTCTCACATTTATTAATAGCAAGTATTTACTGGTAGGTTTGACGCGTCAATTAACTCAAAAAATATCTGTTAGAATGCCAATAAACGATTGTTGATCTTTCTTTTTACTCATTTGGCTTCAATAATACGAAATAGAGCTTTCTTCATAATGTAATTTCATCTGAGAACGAGGAAAATGTTCTAATCGAAAAATCCATGCGTAATTCTCCCGAGAGCTTAGTCAACAAAGAATTTGACAATGTTCGAGATATATATGAATTCTTCTATGAAAATAATCGTATTCTTTTTCGACTAGCAATTCTTATTTTCTGTTTTCTGTCTAAACTTTTTTAATCAAAATTTATTTTGATTTAGTAAAAGCAAAAATCAAAAGCGTGCCCTTTCAAATGAATTTTTCAACACTTATCTCATTAAAGTTTTATTTGTTTTGAATGTTAAAGTGCTGAATAGAGAATTGCATTGAAGGACTAGTTTATCATTTCATTGAAAACTGATTCAAAGATTGGGAATATCATCTTTGTTTGAGGAGATAATAGATGATCATTGGGATTCATTCCATCTTTTTTCATAAAATAGATAACAATAAAAAAGAAAATTTTTACTTATTATACAGTCTTTATTGATTGAATCTTGTAATTCTAAAAATTCCACTCATCTAGAACACATACATCAGCTGGCTTTGGTAGTTCGAGAAGAGGACCACATCCATATCCTGGACAACATGGTATATGGGACTTGCGACATGGTGCTCCTAGTTCAAGACAAAATCTCTTCTGTATTGCCGAACATGTTGTTGTCAATGCAGTTATAATAATCATGATCATCATCATAAATTTGAAGAATTTCTTCATAGAATTCATTCTTTAATGAAAATCAAACGATATTTACTAATTAAATATATATATATAATATAAATCTGATTACTTTTTTCTCGAATATCAATGGATTATAATTGTTATCTTTATTAAATCGCTCTAAAAGAAGAAAAAAAAGAAAGAGTCTTTAGACTGGTTAAGAACATTCTATTTATTGCTTCGTATTTTTTTCTTTTGTTACTTTATCTTTGAGAAAGTCAATAACATATTTATGATTATAACAGCTGACAATTATGTCAATATTTATTCTCTTAGCTAGTGTTAACATTTTTAAAAATCTATGATAAATGAATTAGAAATCGTTATTTTAATATAGAAAATGTAGGCATACTCGTCACCTATATTATATGATCATTTTCGCCCCCTCCCTCGCTAAATGTTTAACATGACGAAGTCTATTGGCACTTTTATCAATTAATATATGCATTGTAGTCTATGACAATACTAGTGTAATAAATGTGAGCAAAAGAGTACTTAACTATTGAGTCGATGCATTTGTTTTTTCTAATTAATGGAACCCATTGAGAATGATAGTGTACATGATGAGAATGGTTTTTCCAACCAGGTAATACTTGGATCTGGCCGATGTATATATTGAACAAGAGAGATTAAAAAAAATACATAGGAAAAAGATGACATGCTTTTGCAAATACTACATGAGAATTGACTTGAAAAAGTTCTTATAATGTTAAATAAAAATCAAAAAATTGAAAGAGATTTCTCATTTTATTTTATTAAATATAGAAAGTAGTCGTCATTATTATTTCTAGAAAGTTCGATCATTTTTAACTATTTTGTCACATGTTTGTTCGCACACTTCTTCTCGAATATTTTAAACGATGTTGTAAAGTACACAAGCCAATGGTTTTCATTTGTTTAATCAATTAAATTATACATGATATAATCATGTTAGGAAAATGTATGTAAGACAGGGTTTGATAAAAAAAATGGTTGGTGCAACATAATATTGATAGCTGCCTATGTCAAGTAATTAATAAAATCTAGGTCAATATAAAGTCGAGCATTATCGCCACGTTATTTCATATATTTTGCATCTGATGAATTCCCTTATTTTCATATTTAATTGACGAGAGATTCGAGACAGTTTTCAATCTATTAGTTGTGTTTTATTGTCGTGTCTTTATGAGAAGAACTGTTCTAGTTAAAGTATATAGAAAATAAAGGTTTCGATTAAAATCTACTTGACCAAACGATAGTTGTTCATGATTGACCTTGATTAATCCAGCTTGTATTATAGTTAACCTGTGAGCAAGCAAGTTGATGACACAAATTAATTAAAAAATAATTGAAAATTTCAATATTGTGTAGAAAGTATTTATTTATTTATTAAATCTGTGAAAGTATATATGGGTTTAGGAAATACAATAAACTCTTTCAAGTTCTTGGCAATATGTAGAAGAGATTTATTTCGAATTGTCAAAATCTACTCATGTTGGATGATGATGTTTCCTCTATATATCATCATTGAATTGCGAATCTGTTTGCTGATATTTTTCAGTTTGAAAGAAATATGCATAGACAAATCTTGTAAACTCTGTTAGATCCTACTAAAAACATTGATAAAAATTCGGAGAAAGTCAATTATTTTTAAAGTAATTTTATTTTTGAATTCGTTTCTAATTGATTATATAAATTCTTCGATGACAATAAGCGTTGTGTTTTAGACTATTAACTCTCATTTTCTTCTATTTGCCAAAACGTTTTTATTTCTTGAATGAAAGTTTACTTTATTTAGCAAAAGTAAACAATGTGATATATGATTGAGTTGATCACAATTGAAATATTTCGGTATATTAAGTGAGAAAGAGTACAGTTCTTCGATAACCATCAGAAAAAACTAGTCATATATATGTATTGGGATTGACTTGTAACAATCTATCCAAGTATCGTCTTTAAAAGTTTTCAAAGTCGATGAAAGAATACGACAGTATCTGACGAGCGATTTCATGTTTTTTTCCTAATTTTTTCAATGTTAATCTGCTAAGTCAAGAATTCTAGTCAGGAACGTGTGTACGCATTTCATTAAAAAGTTATTCAAAAATCGGGAAGATCATCTTCTTGGTTCGAGGAGATAATAGATAATCATTGGGATTGATTTCATCAAAAAAAGCGGCTTTTTAAGTATATATTCCATATTGCAAAAAAAATGAAGATTCAACCTGATGCAAACGAGCTGGGTCAAGACGGGTCGAATATTGTCGACACAATCCAAGTTCATACATCCAGAGATTGATTGCACGATGATACTGACTAGCATTAGCTAGTAAAGTAGTTTGATAATGGAGTGAGTAGCGATGTTCGGCATTAGTTGATCTGAGCAAACGTTCACATACAAGCAACGCTTCAGTATACGTATTGTCAATATTTGATCGAATTTCTTTCAGATGATCAAGTGTCTGACATTCCTGTCGATTATCGAATATTTCCACCGTAGTGGATCTCAGAAGTTTCGGAAGATTATCAATTGTCTTCAGTTTGAGTGCTTTATAAAAGTGTTCAAACGATTTTTCTATACCATGATAATCAATCTGAAAACACATCAAAGCACTAGTGGGCAATTCTTCAGCTTTGATTCACTCAGACAATGAATAGTGACGAGAAATAACAGGTGTCTCACAATGAATTGCTGGTTTTTGTATTTCTTTGTTTCATCATCAGGTACGTTTATTTGACTAGTACGGAGTGCAAAAAAAACTGACCCCTTGAGATTAAAATGTAACTAAATATTTATTTATAATTATAAATGAACTAAATTATATATCAACAGTAACAATAGTGAATGTGCAAATATACAACATATACAACAACAATTTAATACAATCTTAGAATTGAAAAATTTAAATCAAAGAATAGTCACTATTTTTTCATCCTATGTGTACCTATTTCTTTATCATATATTAGAAAATTTAATTTTAAGAGAGAATCCATCAGACTACTGATCAAGCATGCATACGACAAATTTTGACTTTTAAATAAGTTATACCATTCGAAAGCTCGTGAAAGGTTATGTTCAAACCCAAATTTTTAGCCACTTCTGAAAGTCCTACCAAGAGATATGAATGGATCTTTGAATCCACCCTCAGGTAATATATTATGAATTTTAGAGAATTCTATGTAACACTTTATGACTACACATATTAGCATCAAAGATCCCTCTGTTTTAGTATTAATTAACGTATCTTGATTAGATCTGTAAAATACACTATGATAGAACAAGATTGTCCAATATAAATCATGTCTAAGGAGTCTCTAATGTGTTATTTTTAACTAAACCAATTGACAAAAATAATCATTTTTTATGAAAAGTTTTTATATTTTTGCTCTGAGAGTATACCAGAGCAATTCTTTCCTCAAAACCTTTTTGTATCAGGAGAAAGCCTGTCAAAAACTGCATCTTTCTATATATAATTCAACAAAAAATATGTGGAGAGATTATTTAGTTTTTTGAGCTCAAAGAAGATCATTACGATGGGAAATAGGCCCACATAGTGTGAGAAATAGTGACTATTGTTTGATTTAAATTTTTCGATTGTAAGGTTGTATAAAATTGTTGTTGGGGTGTGAATGTGAATGCCGGGAAGATTAATATCCGTAGTCAAACTCCTTCACACCCACCCATCGCCGCATCTTACAAACAAGCACTATTTTGTTGTTGACTTTTATTTTAGCACGAGAAAGAAGATATAAGAAAAAGCGAATGAAAATTCATGATAATCAATCAGCAGAACTGACAAACAGTTGTAAAAGTGTTGTAAAACAGCAGAAAAACATATTATGTGATTTTAATTTTCGTGTGCAAGTGCAGAAAATAATCCAAGACATTGACATGAAGTATGTAAGTGTTTCTTTTTTATTCAGTTTATCCTGAACTTGAATATGTTCCTGTAATTGTGTTGAATGTCAGTGTTAATGTCGGACTGTTTGTTGTTGATGTTCCATAGGGTACAGACACCGAATCCACAGCATATGTAATACTGAAACCACTTCCTGAACCTTCATTGAAAAGAAGAAAGACAAATCAATCCACAATAATCAACAATCATATGAAAAAAAAACATTTACTCTGAACACCAATTGTAGCCGAAGAACCTCCATCTGATGCTTGATAATACTTGTATGTAACGATATTAGGTGAAGCCTCACTGAATACAATTTGAAAATGATAATACTGTGATGAAGCGCCGTAATGCGACATATAAAACTCGAAGATCATGTTTCGATTAGGATATGTACCAGTTGCACCATAGTAGACACTTTCAGATGTGCCTGCATATATATATAGATCATCCCAAAAGCCAAAAGCTGTTGGTCCGCTGAAACTACCACTTGGTAAAGCTCCGTTTGTCCAATCATTAGCGCAGCCAGCAAGACAGATACACTAGAAATGTTAAAAATAGTTTTACGTGTTAGAAAATTAAATCATTAAAAGGTCAAACATTTTCAAAATAATATTAATTATCAAACAGTTTTATAATGTTTAGAGAATGTTCTATTTTCTGTCAAGTAGAATTTCAGTTTGATTTTCTGAAAAAAAAAGTACTTCCAAAGATATTGGAAAATGACGAGCAATTTTTAACAATATTTGAAAATAAGTTTCTATTTCATGGAAAAAAAATGATCAACATTCTACAAGAAGAGAAAAGTTGACATTAGTCTTGACGAAATCAATGACATAATGACAATTATAGAGACACTATTTAGCTGGGTAATTAAATCAATGGGTGATGTCAAGAATTCAGTTTTCTTTGACAGTTGTAGTGAATATACCAGTTCGAGTTGCACATAAGATACTTTGTTTTTACCCTGACCTGCCATAAACTATTCGCCTATAGCATGATCTATAGATATTTGTTTTACGAAAATAGTTCATTTTAGTGAATTATTTTATTGATTTTTGTTTTCTCCTGAAAAGTTCAACTACGTTCACAAATAGTGTTTTTGTTTTCCTATTTTGACGCATTTCAGAATTATATTAAAACTTCTCTGTATATGCATCTCGTTCTATAAAGCGGTCTAGATTTCACTCAAACGAAACTTGATGGAAATGAGTTTCTATATTATAAATGTCTTCATATTTTGAACGCTGAACGCTTCTTGTAAGCTTCATGAGTAATGACAAATTTTATTACATAAGTAATAATCATTAAGAAGAAAAATATCTGAAACATTGATAACAGTGTACAAGAAAACGTATCGTCATTATTTTAACAGTCAATAATATCGAATCAAGTCAACAAGTACTCATTTATCTTTTGTTAGAAAGATTGAATTCATAAACTATTGAAACAAAGAAAACAATCAGTTTATGAAGTTGAAAAATTATTGAAAATGTATATTTATTATTTAAATAAAAGCTTAAAACTATCTAATAATGAGGACCATAGTAAATTGAATGTTTTTTTTTCGTTCTTGATATTATACACATTACAGATTTTTTTTTTGAAGGATCTGAACTTATTCAAGTCATGATTACGTGACTTGCTATTATTCTATAAATCCTTCAATCTCTTCTGTCAGAAGTATTTCCCTACTACATGATACATGATACGAGTTTTATACAGGATGGCCCAAAAGTAAGGAAACAAAAAGAGTATGCTATAATAATGGATAATAGATTGTTAATGATCTTTTTTACATTTTTATTGATATGGAAAGCTGAAAATTTTAGATATAAAAGATCTCAACTAGATATGTATGTGATAAAAATTTTAGCTCTCTACATCTACATCAATAAAAGGTACGAAAAATATATCAAGTTGTTGTTGTTGTTGTTTTACTTTTTGTTGTCTTGTACATGAAAAATCCTGTGCTAGTACAAGTGTTTCAATCAATAATGATCATCCTACTTTTACATATTAACAGAAGGGTGTTATTACTAAACAGAGATGAACATATAATTCATGTATTTTTATTGAGCGAAGTCACGGTTGTGCTATGTGCACTTATTCTACCTAACTTGCATTCCACTAATTTATCGATACTAAAAGTTTTCAACTAATAGACAATAAAGAGGAATCAGTTTGTGAAAGTTGCTACATGTACTAAAATTTAGTTCGATATCTGACTTTTCTTTTTGAGACTGATTTGATAAATGCTGGTTGGACTTGAAATCTATTCTAACTTCATATAATGAGATCAAACTTTACACTTAAAGTTATTCACTCTCTCTTTTTTCCGATCAAAAATTCGCTTTGAACCTGAGCATAAGATATCATAGCCAAAAGTATTTTTGTAATTAGCCAAGTCATTCGACATGAAACATCTGCTTACTACAGAATTAATGAGTTAAGGAAAGTTTTTTTTCTTTTGCTTAGCCTATTTCAAAACTAGAACTTTCTCCGAATAGACTTAAATTTTTAACCATTAATAGTTGAATGGTTTTTCCAGCAGTAAAATGGAGTGTTTTCGTTTTTTCACATTCCTAGTAAGATTTACAAGGTTCTGAAGACTAATATCTGAGTCTTGGACTCGAATCTTTGCCTATTTTCCTTTTAAAAAGAAAAGAATATTAGATTTTTGAAAAACATTAAAATTAATCTCTGAGAAGTAATCTCAAGTATCTTAGAAAACAATTGGGCGAGACTGCATTATAATAGGTTATAATACAATCGTATAGGGAATTCGAATTTTTCTAGAAAAATCTGAAAAAATGTTGCCCAAAAGTTTTTTCCTCGTATACGTGGCTGCGTATTTTTGTGCTCTATCTATGGATGAATTTGAGCTTGATCAGTTATACCATCTTCGAGAACCAGGAACGATCAAAAAAAAAACGAGGAAGAAACCTTTTATAGTTTACCAGGCCTTACCTGGAAAATTCTTTTTTAATTCTTGAATTGTACTATTTCTGAATGTGTGTGACTGTCATTGGTACGACTTTGAATGCACCTGAAACTGTTTCTATCGAAAAAAAAACACTATCTTTGTCTGCTATTATAGATATCATTGACTTCCTATATTTTTGTTCGATACTTTGTCTTATCTTTTCATTATATACCTTTTCAAACATAGTTAAATTATCAGGATCACATCTTTTCAATAATACAAAATATAATTCATTTCATCGAACACATTGTACGAATTAAAGTTTTTCTATATGAAACCTTTTTATGGTTGATAACTTCGTTTTACACGGCTATTTTCATATAACAACATGTTATGTGAATTTTGCGATATTAAATTAAGTGGACAACTGACACTAGGATGACACATGAATATAGATTTATAGAATAATACCCATTTGGTATCTTTCAAAAACAAAAAAATCACATATATAACTCATCAATTTTCGTTATATTCATCATGGACTTAACTACTAAGCAATAGTCATTCTCAATTTTTAAGTCAAATATGTATACATCAGAAGTGATTTTGATTGAATCCTTTTCTTTTGCTTCGTTAAGTATCTAGCATTACGAAAGCTAGAGTTAACATTCTCTAGCATATATTTGAATCTATTTATTACCTATTAGAATAAGGTAAGCATGAAGACGATGTTATTAATTTAGAAACTGATAGAATTACGAAATTTAGATTTTTACAAATTCATTTACGTATCATTGAAATAAAAGCGATCATACACTGTTCGATCATATGGTTTTCAAAGATTTATCTTCGTATTTCTGTTTAGAGAAAAGCTTCTGAATACATTTTTGATATTATACAATAATCATTTCTTAATCATATATTTATTTCAATATATTTATTAGATTGAATTTTGATTTTCTAAATGCAAATAATACTATCATTCAAATGAAAAAATTTTGATATCAATTCTAGTTTCACTTATTCTAAGATATTATATCTTTACTAATTAAAATGTTTCAAAAAGATCTATAATAAAAATACTTACGCCATTACTCTGCACTGATGGACTTGACGTATAATAACCATACAATGAGATGCTAAAAGGTATACTAATAGTAACATATGCATCATCAATATTAACTGTACCATCCCAACCAGAAATCGTAACAGCACCTACAAGTTGTACAGCAGGTGCACCACTACAACTACCATAGGAACAACTTGTATATGTTGAAGCACATACATAACCAATTGAACCACAATTATAAAAATCAATCAAAAGATTGACACAGGTACCAGATGGTGTTCGAGTATATCCAGTAGCACATGGAGCTGTTGTTCAACATTAATTACATATTTGAATAAAATATTAACTAATTACTGAGAAATATACATACCTGTAGTAGTTGTTGTTGTCGTTGTTGTTGTCGTAGTTGTTGTTGTGCTGGTAGTAGTTGTTGTCGTTGTTGTTGTTGTCGTAGTTGTTGTTGTCGTAGTTGTAGTTTTGCTTGTTGTGGTGGTAGTCGTAGTCGAGGTCGTTGATGTGCTGGTTGTAGTAGTTATTGTTGTAGTTGTTGTCGTAGTTGTTGTTGTAGTTGTTGTCGTAGTTGTTGTTGTGCTGGTTGTAGTGGTCGTAGTTGTAGTTGTTGACGTCGTAGTAGTAGTTGTTGTTGTAGTAGTACTTGTTGTAGAAGTTGTTGTAGTGCTAGTAGAAGTTGTGCTTGTGGTGGTAGTAGTTGTTGTGGTTGTTGTTGTTGTTGTTGTGGTAGAAGTCGTTGTGGTGCTAGTAGTAGTTGTAGTTGTGGTGGTACTAGTTGTTGAGGTTGTCGTTGTTGTTGTTGTTGTTGTTGTTGTAGTTGTTGTAGTACTCGTACTTGTTGTTGAAGTTGTTGAAGTTGATGTAGTGCTAGTAGTTGAAGTTGATGTAGTACTAGTAGTTGAAGTCGTTGTTGTAGTTGTTCCACCACCTATAGTAGATAAAGTATGAAATGAAAATGTGTAGTATTTGCAAAAACTCAGCTGTTAGAATGTGTTAATAGATAGATAAGTATTGCCGGCAGAAGTGTTCCTTATTTAGAATTTCATTTGAAATATAAGAAACTCTCTACATTCCTCATTTGAAGTATAATGAAACTATTTGTATAGAAGTGATGTTTCTCAACAAATCTAGTAGGTTCATATTTTAAATTACTGTTGATTTTGATTTTAAAATTGAAAAAGCAAAAGTACATATAGTATTGAAGTGATCATTGAAAAACATTTATGGATTCTAGAATAGTTATTGAATTAGCTAGTAAACTCTTGTCAACATATCTAATCATAGATATTTTCTTAATAATTTTTTTTTTCTCCATGCACATTATTATTTAGTCTTATACTGGATGTACAAAATATACATGTTTAGAAACAATGATAAGTTTTTGAATTAATGAAAGAACGAAAATACAACGATGATTCACCGTGACCATTCATTCATACTCTGCGAGTTCTTCAGATATTAAAGGCAATAGAAGAATTAAATAATTGAGATTATTGCATCTTAAATGATATATACATAATATGAAATGAAAGTATTTTTCATGGATCCATCCTGTATGTGATTCTATTCTAAAGTATACATTTGAAATATAGTTTCAAATAAGAGTTCACTGCTATTCATATCATTTAGACTAGGAAGTAATGCGACAGAGCTGTCTTTATGTTTCGAATAGTTTTCATTGATCATGTCTTGGAAAACTAAAAACACAAGGTATTTGTCACGTTGTGATTAAACAAAATGCAGTAGTTTTAGAGTATAAATCTTGGTGAGTATCTATGTTGTGGTATGGAGATGAATGTGAGTGTAAGGATGGCGTTGAGTATATATAGAATCTTCTCTTAGATAAAATTCACCCACAGTTACCTCTCACATCTAATAGTTCTAAAAGAATTCGAATTCATAGAATGTTTTTTGCTTTGTTGGTAATTTACAATTCTAGTATGCCTATTGAAGATTTATATACTGGTGGGCATAACAAAATTCTTCTTAAAATCTCTTGTTAATTTTGAATTCTGCACTCGAATTGAAGAATGAGTAGGACATAGTGGCGTAACCAGGAAATATTGGTAGAGGGGGCTCAGCCCCCAGCTCTTTTGAAGTAAACAGATGTCCCACAGCGGAGGGTTGTGGGGGGGGGGGGATGACCCCCAATCTTGAAAAATTTTCGTTTTTTCATGGCAAAATAGACGTTTTTTTCGGTTTTTGTGCTCAACAATTTGCAAAAAAAAGGCTTGTATTTCCCCAAAGTTCGGTCATCTTTAGAAATTTTTTTTAACGACTTTCTATATTATCGACCCCTCTCCCCCCAATTTTTCCGACTTCGGGACACCCCTGAAAGTAAAATATGGTAACTTGAGTTCTACTGAAACAATGTATGAAGACAATATAGAAGTTCAAATATTTAATCCTTTATTATGAAAAAAAAATAAATTGAACATCAGAATGAATACAACTACCGCAGCATAATTCTACTATTTTTATGACTAATTGAAAACTGATCAATAACTTGTTCGAAATTCATTTGAAAATCACGTTCAATCGACAAAATACAAAGATCACTTAATCTTTCATCAGCTATTCTATTTCTTATACATGTTTTGATGAACTTCATTTTTTAAAAAACATGTATGTTTTTAAAGATACTGCCTTCTCTGCTCTTACACTAATTCTTACATATTTTTTTATTATAAGTGTGAAAAGGTTCAAAGAGCAAGCGAATATTCACTCTCTTGGTCTACTCTGTTAGAGAGAAGCAAAATATACAATACTTCATCCTCCAAATGCAGTGGCACAACCAGGATCTTTAGACCAATGGGCAAACCTCCATTGTATTGAAAAACAACGATGGGCAAAATTTTTATCGACAGGGCAGAACTTTTTCAACCTAATGAAGTACTAATAACTTAAAAAAGAGATAAAAATGAAAATGAGATTATTTTATTAATACAAAAAAGGAACAGGTATTTTTATTGACAAAAAAATGACATGAGATCCTTTTAATCAAATGTACATGAAACTCAAATTTTAAGTCTGAGTCAGATGTGTTCTAGTGTATTTTAATGTTTCTTGCTGCGAAGAAAAATTACCACTGAATAACCTATTAGTGTTAGATCGCTTTTCATTCAACATACGATAGTATTGGTGTGTTTTAAAACAGAACCACAAAATTGCAAATGCACAATTGTATATATGTATACTTGTTCTTTTCTTTTTTCTCTTTTGCCTTTGCTTATAATATATTATCCTAGGAGAAGAAACATGGTGACCAACTGAACAAGCTAGGCTGTAGTTCGTTTGCCGTTATACCAGTCTTATAAGAAGAGACAAAAGCAAAAAGTAAAGAAAAAAAAATATTTACGCTTGTGAACAAGTAAAATTTCAATGGGCGAAAACTTACTAGTAAAATTTTCAATGGGCAATTGCCCCTTTGCCAACCCCTGGTTATGCCACTGTACAGATAATAAAAATTTAACTTATTAAAATTGACAAAAGAAATTTTCGTAGAGGGGGCTCAGCTCTTCGTAGGGGGGCTGAGCCCCCCTCTGGTTACGCCACTAGTAGGACAGTGTATTGACTCCTACTATTGATAGTGTGGATGTTTGTGAGTATAGCTGAGGTAATGGTTTTGTCAAAGAAGAAAAGTGAATCGATAGCAGACATCAACACTTACACTCTTCTAATCGATGATATATCACAAGTTTGAACATGAGTTTTTATTCAGATAGCTGAATTTATATCGATCGAAAGAATATTTATATATCTTGAGTTCATTTTTTCCAGTAGATTGAAATGAAAACGATAAGTTTTCTTTTCGTAAATGAATAGATGATAATATCTTCTATTTTCCAAAGATATTTATTAATCATCTTTCATCATTAAACAATGAAGATGATCTAGTTTCTTATGCTTCTCATTAACTAAACAAATTCATCATCGTTATATTTCTACTATATAGAAAGATGAAGGTAATGAACTTATCAACTACTATGAAAGAATAGTTAGTTGAATTAAAATAAAATACTGACCATTTAAGGAGAAATAAACAGTTGGAGCAGTAACTACTATCAACAAAGTTGTTACTGCTATCAAGCTAAGTACAATTTTCCAAAATTTTGATAATCCTTGTACTGCTGCAGAACTAAAATCAACAATGTCTTTGTATAAAACAGAAGAAGATCGAAGAAGTGACATACTCAACTGAAGGAATCGATTCTAAATTTAGCTTGATATTTTCAGTAGTTATTGGTCCATTTATATTCTGATTATCAGTTACATTAATCGATAAACGAACGTTCCCATCAGCATCTTTAGTGGTTATGGACGTCAAGTTTGTCTAATAAAAGAAGGGTTCGATTTCAATTTTCTAGAAATATGAAAAAAACCTAAGTGAAGAATACCTGATCAATATCTGGAACATCCAAAAGTGGAAGCTGTATTAGAGAGGTAACCATTTCGTCCTACTACCTGTTGTTGTTTGTTCGAATGCTCTGACGGTGACTTTTTACACACTGGTAATATATTGTTGTTCTTAATAGAAAAAAAAATGTTTTATTGAGAAAAGTGCTAATTCCATTTGCAACAGTACTTTAATATTTATTTTCCACTCGAAAGTACATCGAAAAAAGGTATCACGCGAGCTGCTTTCTCTATTTGCAATCGTTCGGCAGGCATGACCACTTCAGTGAGCCACTGTTTCAAAATTATGGATGTATTATGAATATGTACAGACAAGAAATCCATTAAAAGTATTGCGTTCTTTTTTTTTTCTACAACATAGTTCTCTGGATGAGCATATATTTGAGAAGAAATAAAATATGTTTGTTATGATTACAAATAATGTTCTACATTCGATACTTTATTTTTGCCAAAACACAAGTGTTGATGAAACATTCTCTAAATGAAGTTAAGCATAAATGAAAAGTAATGGCTGCAATGGAAATAGAGGAATTCTAGAGATGTATACTGATCGACTGAGCTGCTGACACTGTCTATGCTTTGAAAAAGATTTTAATCACATCGCCGATGAGGACGAACTCCCTGAAGAATTGCGACCATCAGCAATACTACTCATTTGATTCAATCCTATCAGAATCGAATATCAAGAAGCACGCCAAAAAAAGATTCAGTTATTGTTCCATGATACACAAATAAACAATAAGTTTCTTTTGAAAGAAGTCTCATACTTTGACTCATTCTTTTATTCTACTGTTTTCATGTGAATAAAGACAAAAAAATATCCGGTTTTAATTAAAATGATTGGTAAAAAATCAGTCGCAATCAGGTGTGGGAGTGGGAGTGTGGGAGTGTGGGAGTGTGGGAGTGTGGGAGTGTGGGAGTGTGGATGTGGGTGTGACTGTGGGTGTGGATGTGTGGGGTGTGGCTGGGTGTGGATGTGAGTGTAGGTATGAGGGTGGGTGTGACTGTGGGTGTGGGTGTGTGGGGTGTGGCTGGGTGTGGATGTCAGTGTGGGTGTGACTGTGGGTGTGGATGTGTGGGGTGTGGCTGGGTGTGGATGTGAGTGTAGGTGTGAGGGTGGGTGTGACTGTGGGTGTGGGTGTGTGGGGTGTGGATGTCAGTGTGGGTGTGACTGTGGGTGTGGGGTGTGGATGAAGACCGGATTAACACCCACACCCATACCCACCCACACCCACCCATACCCACACCCACCCACACCCATACCCACACCCCACACCCACCCACACCCATACCCACACCCCACACCCACCCACACCCATACCCACACCCACACCCTCATGAAAAAAAATTTACATATTAAAATCTACAAATTTTTTTGTGACTTGGTCGTAAATTCGAGGTAATGGGGTTCTTATATCAGAAACAGCTTTTTGTCGAAATTCATGTACCACTCGCAAAATATGAAATGGAGTTAGACGTTCTCCATGTCGATGTGTTCCTCTGATAAGCTTTATTTTATCATTAAGTAAAGTAAATGATGCATTACAACGCTCATCTGTACAAGTAAATCTAATTGAGCCATTGTTATTACGTTTTTGAATACAATATAAGTTGGTATCAATCTGAATTGCAGGTGCACCCTTCTGAGTTTTAGTCCAGTGAAATTCAATTTCTTTATTCGTTACAATTGAGTAATTACAATGAAGCAATATTATTTTGTTAATAAATATTTGTGTTGATTAAATACATAAATATTCATATATATATAAGTATAATTTGGAATAGCAATACATTAAATTTAGAGAAATGCAATAGCAGGTATTTCTAAATGAATTTTTAATGCTATGCAAGTAGTAGATATAACTCAACATACCAGAATATTTTTCAATTCGTTATGCTTATTCTAGAAAAAGCATCGTGCCATTCTCTAGAAGATTATTTATTGTATATTTCAAAATTTTGTATTAAAAGAAGCAAGATATATAATACAATAGTCACTATCTTAAAAAAAATTGTACAATAGATAGTCGTTGATGAAATGAGAATGAGTCATATAGATAATTAAATGATGAAGTAGCTTGTATTGTAAGAATTTATTGAAGAAAAAAAAGTTAATATACTGAATATACAATAAAATTCATATTTTCAAAAATCTATGACTTGAAGAAAAAAATCTCGATATTACAATAATTTAATGATTGCTTATCACAAATATCATTGAGAAATAACCAAAAAAAAAGATATTTAAGTTATTTGTTGAGCGCCCATTAAAAACGTTTTTGAAAAAAAAAGATGTTGAGAAATTCACTATTTTCATTTTCGTTTCAACCATTACAAGTGTTACTGAAAAAGGTTTTGAGAAATTAATTATTTTTATTTTCATTTCAAGCTGCGTATAATATAAAAACATAAAATATAAATTATTTGTATTTTTATTTTCGTTTCAAAGCGCCTATAATGTAAAATAAACAAATTACCTGAAATGAGACCGTCTCCTCAAAATTATAATCATATACAGTCCAAATTGACTCCAACTTTATCAATGATTAATTTAATAATTCTTGAAGCTTGTATTTTTTTTTTGATCAACTAATAATTTGATTGAAATCATGTTGATGTTGAATAATTCGTTCAAAGAACTGGGCACAATCTCAGCATCACATGTGCATTTATTTTTTTTTTATAAATAGCTGATTCGTGAAATTAATCTTCGTTCTGATCCATTTATTGGGAATAGTATCTAACCATTACCATCTAGTTATATAAAATTAGCCAGATATTTAGATCATTCAAGAAAAAAAAATTACTGAAGATAATCCTTTTTATTAATCTTTGTAGGGTATTCTATTTATTTTCGAAGAGCAATTGTTTTTGATATTAGAACATTTCAATATAAAACGTTACAAACACTCTTAAAAAAACTGTTATTAAATCAAGTAGGTAATCTATTGACTATTTTCAAATTATTGTATTATTTTCATCGCTTAATATTGTCGTTATTCATTGTAGGAAACAATTGATCCTTATCCAATAATGCAATAAATATATATTACAATAAACTCACAAGCTGAAGCTATGACTGTTTTAATATGCTTGTATGTATGAAATATTTAGTATAAAATATTTACCATTAGTAGCTGAACGATTTCTAAATGAACATTAACTGAATAATCATGCACTATGAAGATGTATTATTCTAGGTATAATGGTATGTCACATAGAATTTCTCAAATTCGTTTGTAGTTTTTGAACTGTTTTTTTTTCATAAGATTGTAGCTATTTTTTGAGCATTATATATTATGAATATCAAATAAAATACATAAAAAAATAGTCATAAAATTGAAGTTGGTTTTGAAATGTTTCAAAAACACTTTAAGAGCTAAATTCATTGCAAAATTATAGTAGGAGACATGTTTTGAATAAACATCAAGAAAAAACCCAGTAAATTCAAAAAAAACCTTCATAGGCCTTCACATAATAATCTTTGATGCAAAACAATGACCTTGTTTTTAGCGATAGATAATTGGTGTTTGTGTCATACATTATTTTTCTCGTTGTTGATTACAGTTTGAAATGATAAGATAATGAGATAAGTGATCATTCTAACTGTCAAGAAAAATGCAAATTGTATCAATCAAATGCACAATAGCAATACCTTGTAAGATAAGGAATGAGAATGAAAAAGGTGTATGATGATAAAGCACGTTTTTTTCCCATATACATGGATATTGATGATATCAAAGGGCAAAAGAATGTTGACCTATTTTTTTATCATCAAATGTTCGTAATAAAGTGCGTGACCATTTGTGAAGCTTATTATGAACTACAGAAAACAATCATCTTTCAAAAAAATGCGCTTAGTCATATGTATACTCTAAAACTGAGAAAGATTAAAAAGATATTTTTGTTTTTCGTATTGTCTTTTTACATCCTCTAAATAAAAGAAAACTAGGTTATTTTTAAATAAACGCAGAATAAAAAAATTTATATGTAAATAGAATATAATATGTTTAGACAAATATAGTTTACTTTTTTACTCATACAATAGCATGCAAAGTCATTTACAATTATACAAGAGACAGAGAGAAAAAAGAAAGAATTGAAAAAAGGATTATATTGCGTCTTTGAGAAAACATAGATTGTATATATTGCGTTAAAGACGTTGATGTGAGCTAATTTATTAATGGTTTCGTTCTTGCTGATACTAAGCTAGACGAAATGATAAAACAAAACGTTGAAGAAGAGATTTGGAAAGTATTAATAAAGCACGAATAGTATAAGAGTAAATATTGCTGTATCATTGTTTACAGTTTGCCTGTTGTCTCGTTACAATAAGCATTGTTTTTTTATTATCAGCATTGTGTAAACTTCGAATATATCTAAAAATGAAATTACAGTATGATATAAGTAAACGATTAATTTAAAGAGACTCACGTGGATATTTCATGTGAATCAAGTTTTGACATATTTGTACTGCAAAATAAATAGGAAATAAGTATGCATCATATAATATCCAGATTTAACTAACTGTTTTTGAATAATATTTTTCTTTGATTGTATTTAAGTGTCTAAATAAGTTGCATAGATAAGTATATGAATATAGCTGGTTCAGATTTCTGAAGAGCTTTGTCGTTTACTAATTACCTAATCACAATAATAAATATGCATAATGTGAATTTGCCAACAGTAATGCAGTTTTTTTGGATATTTGGTATTGTTTGTCACTTATTCAAATTTGAAAAAAAATATATGTCCTATTTAAAGAAAGTGAAAGG